TGGTGCATGTGAAAATCATATTATTGATGGTGCATGTAAAACCCATATCATTTTATTTCTAGTGCATGTAATAGAGGTTAAAACCATATCATTTTAGTATTTTCGTTATTTTCTAACCCTGATTTTTTTTACATCGTATAAAAAGAAAATGATATGGTTTTTACATGCACCAGAAAAAAAAATGTCAGGATTGAAAGAGAACGAGAATGCTAAAAGTGAAAAATGTGCATGTCGTGTCTTATCACTAACTTATCATTGAGAAACTATACAAATACTTAGAGATAAAAATTTCAAAAAATTATTTTATACAAAAAATCAAATTTACGTCCTCTTTTAACCCTTTCTCGAATCTCATATGAACTGAAAGACGGAAATCTTCGAAAAGTTTTTTACGATATTTCGAGTGACTTTAACATATTTATTCTAGTACATGCATGTATATCTAGTATCATGAAGCCGATGCACTTAGAATACTTTTAGAAAATTAAGTTCTATTTAAATCAAGAAAATATAATTACATATATAACAAATTATTGTAATTTCTATTTTTTTTATTAAAATATTTTTAAATTAAATGTGATTTTTGTATAACTAAAAATATTTTGATGGCGTGGCTGATGATACAGCAGCCACGTCAAGAGATTATTGATGACTCGGTGACGGAGCAGCTGACTCCAAACTTGTTGACGTGTCAATGTATATTTTAGCTGAATTATATTAATTGATGTAAGAATTAGCACATGAATATAGTTCATGTATGTTTTGTAACCATTGCTGATAGTTGGTGTATGAATAAATTGTTTTTTTATCAATGACTATATATAGTAAAGATCCCAAAATGTCTGTTAAGTAAACAAATGGATTTGCGATATATTTTTTTTTTTTTTATGTAAAACATGGAAACAGAACATTGAGTAATAATTATAACAAAGTTAAAAACATGGAGAATTCTATTTATGCGAGTTTCGCCTTGATTTCTTCTATAATCTTTGGTACAATTGTTTTATACGACTTCTCGCTCGGGTGGCCATAGTCCCAAAACACGTAACGAGATGCATCCAAGCACGGTATCGGCGATGTTGGCATACAACAACAGCCATCAGCCACATCAATAAACCCTAAAAATTCCCATTGATCCAAATTATTCTTTACACCAATTTAAACAAAGCACATATTGTTCTTTGAAACATAAGTATAATAATGTAACCTATATATTTGTTTTTTCATTGAGTCATGCCGTTACCTGAAGCCCGAGGGTTGTTGATGAGATTAAGAAGAGAATTATACATGTCTACGTAGACAAATTTGGCACCCGGAAGTGTTCTCCCTAGATTGTTAAGGTTTGAAGATAATTTTTGGTTGAATGTAGCAGCCTCTTGATTTGCAAAGACTGAGCATATTTTCAATAAATTTCCAACTATGTTTCTTGCTCCTGGCAAGCAACCTAATGGTAGTGTCCCAAGAACCGCAAATTTTCTTGCACCCATAGCATATAGACTCTTCATATAACCAAAAAATGTAATTAGTTTTTGGATCACACAATTATGTTTTATCCGGAAATTAGTAATTGTGTACCTTTAAAAGATTATCAGTCCAAGTGACCATGAGATCAGTGTAGGCTGAAACAGTGTATTGCGTCCTCACTCTTTGATATGTAATGACAAGATCATTATTTCCAGCTGAGATTAAATAAATGGCGTTTGATATAATCGCGTTTGTTGTTATTTTGTTTCTTGTAACGCCGTTTAATTTGGTGATATACGCTTGGAAGTCTTTCACCTGGTCTGGTACCCATATAACTCCCTATACACACTCATCCCACAAGAAGGATTAATATATTAACTTAAACGATGATTAAGAATGTTCCACAGTAATTAAACTTAATTTTACTTGTATTTTGGCAGTGCGATCATCGAGTCCAGATCCACCGGATGCGAAACAAACACCGGTTGGAAGATCATTGTTCGAAAGGGCAGGATCGCGGTAAGCTGGTAAGAGAGTTTTTAAGCCTAATCCTTCAGCTGCAAAAGAAGGAAAAAAAGACTACCATCAGATAATATTGGTAAAATAAAATATAATTCTTTTTTTTAATTGAAAATAAAATATAATTCATTAACATTATAAGATTATTGTTGAAAATAAAACCTTATAGTTTTGTCTAGCAATATATAAAAAATAATAATAACAATGATATATACCAATCATATCTGAGAAAACTCTTCCATTTCCAAATCTTCCGGTAGCTTTTCCACCTACAAAATTTCTGCCATAGGGAAAGAAATTGCATTTCGAAAGAGTTCTAAGATTGTTATTATTGCCGGTATCGAGTATCGAATCTCCAAAAGCAAAAACTGCTGAAACTGTTTTCTTAGTCATAAGTGCTGAAATTGTTGCATTTCCTGAAAACTGTTGAGCGTGACCAACAAAAAAGATGCAAACAGAAGACAATGCCAATAGCATTGTAGAAAGTAAAGAAAAATTCATATTTTCAGTATTCGTTTATATGTATGTGTTGATGAAAATTTGTATCTAAAATGAAAAGCTGGTATATTCGACATCAAAAGAAGTCTAGTATTTATTTATATACGAAGAGTTCAGAATTATTGTACATCCAAATTCGACGGATTTTTATTTCAATAAATGGTATATTGTATGTATTTAGAAAAGAAAAAAAAAACTTAAATCCAATGAATTTTTGTAGGAATATTTAATTACTATGATTTATTTATAAGAAAGTAAATCATTGACTTTAAACTCATTGACTTTGAACAGTAACGCAAGATAGTTCATTTTACCACATAATCTTTGGAATCAAAATTTGTATTTCATTATTCTACGTACATATTTCCACTTTAATTTTGAAAATCAAAGAAGTTAAATAATACCAGGTTTTAAAAGGTAGTTAGTAATGCTAAATAAAAATTTAACTAGTACTTTTGGTGTTCTTGTTATTCTATTCTACACTACTTTTAAATTCTTACGATTCTAAATA